ACACTCCTGCCATGATATCCAAGCTGGGTTTTCTATTTTTAGTAGAGACAGGGTCTTTCCCTTGCTTAGGCTGGTCTTGAACTCCTGAGCTCAAGTGATCCTCCCACCTTGCCATGGCCTCCCAGAGTGCTAGGATGACAGGCATGAGCCACCATGACCAGCCCTTATAATCCTTCTTACTTTTTTGTTCCAGTGTCTTCTAGCACTTAAGGCTGGATTCTAGGTAGTAAGTTATTTTCTAGTGTTCCCAAATCCAGACTCTCTTCTCTGCTTTGTGGAGCCAGGATTCAGAAAATAAGTCTCCTTTGTCCCCTCACTCATGGTACTTATAGTCAGGCTCTGTCAATTACGGTCCAGGAGGATATGCAAGATGCCCAGAAGAGCAAAGAGATCTGTTCCTCCTTTGTTTTGCACCTGTCCTTTTCAGCCTCACCTACTCAATGAACTTTTAGTTCAGTTGCAGAGCTTGGTTCCCCTTGACATTTTATCCCCAACCCGCTAGAACCAGACTTGCAGTTTCTCCTCATAGGTACAATTACCAACCATGCTGGGACCCGTCCTCTTATTTCAGAATCCCAGCCTCAATAGTTACTTACCTCATTAAAACTACTAAATTTGGGTAATTTCAGTCTTCTTTTGTTGATCCCTCAGAAGCTTGATATTTTTATCTCTGTGTTACACCCATACTCCTTTCTTGCCTTTCTGATCCTCTAATCCTATTTTAAATTAAATTCTCTTAAAATGGCTGATGTCATTTCTGCCTTCCCTGCTGGATCCCAATTGATACACATCAGAAATAAGAGTTATGGTGTCAGTCTTACTGAACTTAACTTAACTTATTATTAATAGGTTGTTTAATATCTGAAATTTCACCATCACATAGCTGTATGTTCATCTTCCTTCAGTGTTTCCTGCCTGATAACTCTAAAGGAGCCTTTTCAATCTAGACTCAGGTCAGTTTGAGTTCAGAAAAGAAGTTTCAGCTATTTTCTTTAATAATTTTTTTTTTGTGAAAATGTTGTTTTATCATTCTAAACTGCACATTATAATTGTGTGTCTTGCATTAAACCTCTATACCTTTTTGTATCATAATTTTTATCTCTTTTGTTTGGTTAATGATCTTGGAAAATTCCTTTATTCTCTTATACTTTCATCAATACCCATTCTGTTATTCAGTTGGTCTATTGATTGAGATTTTAATTTTGTCAATTATTTTCCCTCCAACCCCAAGATCTCTGTCTTGCTCCTTCATTACTGCTTATGGTTGTAGGCTGCATTTATTTTATCAGTGTAATGTCCTCTCAAATCTCACTAGGAACCATTATTTTAATTTTAAAATGTTTAATCACATATTCTGTGTTAACTCATACATGGGAGGGCATTTCATGTATTTTCTCTGCCTGGTTTCCCATGAGAAGTGTAAGAAAACTGGCACTTGTCCATCACCTGCTAATATTTGTATATGGATGTTTGGAGTGTTCAGAGTGCCCCCTTTTCATTGCATGGTTCATTGTCTTCTGAATACACCCACAACTGCCAGCTAACTACATAGAGTTTTGAAAGTTCTGTTGTGGAAATCAAAGTCCCAACTGACTGTGTGTATCCCCTTAAAGATAAACATGCAGGATAATGCTGTGGTCAGCAATTCCACAATCAAGGCTCTGTCTAGATAA